TGGAGTCTCCTTGGACGCTCGGAAGCGGACAGCGCCGCCCCGATACCCGCCCCGGGGCTGGGGAGTCTGGAGAGAGTGCCCGGAGCGCGGGAGGGAGCTGCGGCTTTAGGGCTGCTGCGAGGAGGAGGGGACCGGGACTCTCCCGGGAGGAGAGGCTGAGAGCTGGGGCTGCTGGAGGGAGGGTGTTGAGGCTCTTCCCTGTAGTGGCCAGTAGGGGAGCAAGAGGCAACAGGCATAAACTGAAGTACAGGAAGCTGTGTCTGAACGTGAGAGAGAGAGAGAGGAAAAAAAAAAAAAAAAAAAAACCTTCTTTTATTAAAAAAAAAAAAAAAAAAAAAAACACTTTCTTTACTGTGGACACTGGAAAAGGTTGCCCAGAGAGACTGTGGAGGCTCCTTCCCAGGAGATACTCAAAGTCACGAGGGCGCAGTGCTTGGAAACCTGCCCAGCCTGAGCAACGCTTTGGACAGGATGATCTCCAGAGGTCCCTGCCAGCCTCAGCCATGGCTGTTTGCCCTTGCTGCTGCTTGGAGGAGGAGGTTGTCTCTCCACGGAGAGCACAGAGGGTCCCAGGTCCTCCTGCTGCTTGACCTTGTGCCATGTTTTGCCCTCGCTCCAACCCTGCTTCCCCCTGTGGCAGAAATAAGTAGCTCTCGAGCAGAAGTCAAGGAAGAGGTCACAGTTAATAAGCGTGTAAATCCCACACCGTTTTACTGCAGCCTCTTGAGAGCTTAAGCTTTTAGAGGCAAGAAGCTTCCTCTTGCGTGCACCTACCTTCTCTACTGCCAAGGCTCCTCCAGCTCTGGAGCAGGAGAGGCTGCGAGGGTACAAGTCACCTTTCCTGTGCAGAGCACTTACTTTGCCTTCCAAGGGGACCTTTGCCAGAATTTAACATCCCACAATTTAGGGCTTTGCCAGGTGAAGAAATCCTTTCTGCAGTAGCCAATGCAGCAAAATTAATAATTTTGTTTGTTTTCAATTTTGATAATGTTTCTATAGTGTGTATGTTCCTTTTAAATAAGGACACTGACACCTTATTCAGGGCTTGCTGAAGCTCATTACCCAGGGCCCAGCAGTAATGTGTTGCATATACAGCACAGCTCGCTTCTGTTTTATTTTAGTGATAATTGGATTCTTGAAATTTCCTTATTGATGCTCCAATAATATCTCAGTAATGAGATGCTAAGAGTTGTCCTCAGTGCACATCCTGGTAATTTAAGCTGCATTCAGGAGCGAGTGATCCCACTTTTTAGTAATGCTGAAGAAGAGGACAATTAAATGTTCTTTTCCTTCGTGCTGCCCAAATAGATGCAACTTGTTAGCCTGAACGGGAGGATTGGGGATGATTTTGATTTGGTTTGTGTGCAGGTCAAAGGAAGAGAATAAAAAGCGGCAAGGACAGCGCCATTGCTGTGCGGCTTGTAGGTGACACCACAAGAGAGCTCTTTGGGACCAAGTCCCACCTCTGACAGCAAATTTAGAACTGTGAGATAGCAAATTGTGTCGTTTAATGTTCCCACATTCAAGGGGGGAGGAGCTGGTGTGTATTCACTGTAATTAAAGACCATTTCAAAGGCAAGCAAGCTTCTTATGGGAACAGCTCAACAGCTCCCAACAAAGCACGCCTCCTTTCCCTTGTTACCCGTTATTATTTTAAGAGTAGTAGCTACTGTGAATTACCTTTTTTATCTCCATTATTATTACATTGACATTTTCTGTTTCCTTGGAAAGTTTTGAGACTTTTGAGAACAGGAAAACCTTGGCCGTATCTTTTATGCCCTCATCCTCCAGCCTCTTCAGCTCGATGCTCCCAGCTGTAGGGAGAAACTCCCATCTTCAGAAACCCGGTGTGTCTCTGCAGCGAGTCCTCCTTTAGGAAACCCAGGTAAACATCCAGGTCCTATGGGAAATCTCCAAATGGTTCTGCAAAAGACAGAAGCTTTAGTGCCATTCTCGGGTGGCATTAAGAGCTGGCCAGTGGAAATCATCAGATACACATCCCTGCGTGCAAGAATCCCAAGCACAGCACTGAGCTGGAGTGGGATCAGCTCCCTGCTCTGGGGAAGGAAGAGGTGGTGATTTTTTTCATTCCCTTTCTCCAGCTCTGCCACACAGTGGCAGGATTGAGGCTGCTTTTAACCCTGCAACAGAGAGAAAAAAAAATCACGCTCTCCGGTAGAGAAATGACCTGCATTTTTTAAATGAACATTTCGTATTTCAAGATATTTATGAACATGATTTTTTTCTTTCAATACCCTCACTCTTAGCTTGTTTTTCTAAGGAGTTTAGGTAAATGGGATTGTGAGATTATGGGTTCTGCTAGCAACCCTCCTACACGCACAGAGGCACAATAACTTCTGATCATTTGGGCCACCCTCAGCAAAGTTGGGCTTCCAAAATAAGCCCGTCTCTATATGTCTCATGGAAAGACTTGCCAGCTACTTGTGCACTACTGCCCTGCAGAAAGAGACTGAAGTGCAAACTCGGGTGTATTATTAACCACAGAGGAGTGATGAGTATCTCCGCTGCAGGGGAAGCTTCAGTCAGCATGAACGCTGGGCGGATGAGGAGAGATTTAACCGTGAGACATCGATACATTCAGCTGCCCACAGAGCTATTTGTTTTTAATTCCGGATGAAAGACGCTAAAGTGAGAGATGCCTGGGCAAAACAGAAAGCGTCCCTTTTTGATGTCATCTGTGGCTCAGCAGAACAGATCTCACAGGGCCGAGTGGGAGGAGAAAGGCTTAGTTTCCTTTGGGTTTTGTTTTTTTTTCCAGCTAATATGAAAAAATAAAGACCCAATGCACAAGTGTTTCAACATTTCCCCAGAGTTAAAGCCACAAAAATGTTCAAATTTTCAAAATTCAACCTGTACTGCAGGTGGCCAAAAATAGAAGAAAGAAAAAAACCTACCCCTTTTCACCCACTCTTTTCCCTTTTTTTGCAAAATGCTAATTCATCTCCATTGGAAATGCAAACAGGCTGAAACAGCTCTGGTTTTGCTTGCTTTCTTTGTCTTTTTTTTTTTTCCTAAGTAGACCCCGTTTGCAGAGCTGGTGCTGCTGAGATGCCAAGCGACGATGCACAGAGCTTTCCTGCCCGTAACCTCCCATGGCCGCTGATGTGAGATCACTGTCCTCGAGAGCAGAACTGAAGAGTCCTCGAGTCCTGGAGATCAAGGCTGAAATCAGCCCGAGCTGAGAGGCCCAAGCCCCACGCTGCGTTTTGTCCCACTGCAGGCACATGAGCTGCTTCAGCGTGCCTGATTTATTCGACTGTTTTCTAGGTTTCCTTATGGGAAAGTTGGCATTATTAATCCCACGCAGAATGGTTTTCTGGGTTTCAGCATTAGACAAATTAAAGTCAAGAGCTAATTGCTTTCCGTGGCTCTGAATTTCATGCCAGGAAGACACTCCATGCATCAGTGCTTCCACCTAAGGAAAAATCGCCTATATCAGAGAAAATGATTCAGCCCTACCTGCCTAAATGGAAGAGCACAGAGGGTGCCAGCGACTTCCCAGCAGCTAGATTGGGCTCAGAACCTGCAAAAATGGTTTTCACAGCCTAGTCCTTCTGCTCCCCAACATCTGAGCTGCTCCCTCACTGTCTTACAGTGTCCAGAAGACAAAATTTTAGGTTCTTGACAGGTTCTGCTGCACATCAGGCAGATTTTTACCGCATCAGCTTCGCATTACAGCGTCCCTATTATGCAATTAATACCTGGCAGCGTCCGAGCCAGCTGGGGAGAACACCACGCGCAGCAAGGTCTGCAGCACCACGCTTTGGAAAACTTCTTAGAAACCTCACAACGACTGCAGCCCTCGCAGACGCTGTCCATCAGCCTGAGAAACTGCACAAACTGCTAATTATTCAGTAATTAAGTGTCTCTCCAGATTTGTAATTTGTAATCTCGCCTCTCCTAGTCACTGTTTGCTCATTAGGTAGCCGTTTTCTCAATGCAAAAACATTACCTCTGATTGGATTACGAAATCACTTTAAACTCTATGGAGATGATTAGGAAAAGTGTGTTTTTGCACAATAGTTACCATGGGAGATAAAGTGGACAGATCTTTATAAACCAAAAGTCAAACAGATTGCATTTCAGACAATATTTTCTCCCTTGTTTATTCGTTTACTTTAACTCTTTCATGCATCGTACTCTCATTTCCATCCTTTACAAACTGCACTTCTGTCCCCTGTAGGAAGTGCAGCTAAGGATGATGCATTGGTTGCACCAGTTGCAGTTGGTTTTCAGTACACAGTCCACACCAAAGGGCCATGCCACAGCATCCTAGACCCCTCCTCTTCCTCCTCATCATTGTACCTGTCTTCAAAATATCACGTAGCTAGATGGCCTGGAATACCTCAGCATGCAAGATTTCAGCTCAGAAGAATGGTGAGAGACCGAAAGCAGGGAACTGCAGTGCAGAATACCAGGCAGCCTGAAATATGTGTGTTGCTACCTCCTCTGCTGGCAACATTTTACTGCAAAATCAGTCATATGCAGAAACCATGGCTGAGAATATAAAATAAAGCCTGC